ATATTATTTAATTGGTATTGATCAAGAATTAATTTATTGATCAAAAGAGACTGATTAAATTTACAAGTACTGATTTACCAAATCAGTGATACTTATAGTTTGGGCTAATGATCCATGTTGATTAGGCATGGACTAAACCTATATGAGTCCATTAGGTTTTAGTCCAAAGGTCCATCAAATATGAAGAGTCATGGTGAATTAGGGTTTACATGTATGAAACCCTAGAAATTCCACACTATAAAAGTAACCCCTAAGCACCCTAAAATCGGCCCCCAAGAGTTCCAAGGTGAAACCCTAGCTGATTTGTGGTTCCTAACCTCTCTCTCTTTAGCCTTCTTCTGTATTTGGTGTTTGTGACACATTTGAGGCATCACATTTGAGGTGCTAAGTTCTTGAAAGGAAAGGAACTACAAGCTACAACACGAGGTATTCATCTAACTAGTTTTTATATTGTATATCTCAAATTGCATGCTAGCTAGGGTGTATGCTTTGGATGAAATGATATTGCATGTATAACTTGAAAAAACTTAGATCCAAAGAATCTAGGGTTGTATGTGCACCATAGGATTGTTATAGTGCTTAAAACCCATTAGATATATCACGTAAAGTTTCAAACTTTACGTTCATGCATGGGGTATTTAGCTCAAAAAGCGCTAAAAGGTGATTCATATGATTCATGGGACTCCCATGGCCATAAAGTTGGCACCTTTATGCCATGGAGTCCCTCAAAAACTCTGGATCTGAAGTTGTCGCCCCAAAACATGCTTGCATCCATGAATGGTTCGATATATGGCTCCTTAAAGTCGTAAACTACTCCATGAAGGGATCTAGAAAATGAATGGACAATGTATAGACTTTATACCTCAATAAGGCTGCTTTGACTATAAAATATCTGGATCTAAGGCCCTTCCTTCAACCAAGCACTTCAAGCTTCCACTCTTTCAAGAAAATACCAAAGAATCTCTCCTTTTTCACTCACACACACTCACAAAGCTCAAGATCTAGAATTAGGGTTTTCTGGACTAAGGGAAGCGATGAGGGAGGCCACAATGGGGGTGTTAAGGTGTTTAAATAGGGTGCAAACCCTAAAAATTAGGGTTTCACTCTGGCAGCCATACTCGTCAAGTCGAGGCTTCTCGACTCGTCGAGTAGGCATCAAGTCCCGCGTCCCAAAAAGATCAGTTCCTACTCGACGAGTTTGGGGCCTCCAACTCGTCGAGTCCCTTTGCAAAATGAATAATTCTTATTGAAATACATACCAGGAACCATGCGTTACAGATTTGATTTTGAGAAAATGTTGAAGATTGTGGAGAAATATAAGGTCACGTACATGCCTTGAAGCAGATGGTATCGTGATTAGGGTTTGTAAATAGAATGGAAGAAGAGAATGAAGGGATATCTTGAAGCCGGGTATTTCAAAATTATAATTTCAGAGGATTTCATTTCCCCCCTTTAAAAACGCGCATTTTGAGCAAGAATTTATAAAGCGACATTCACAGAGGACACACATTTAAAATAAGCGCCCTCCTTGTTTGTAAATTTTTTTTTGTGGGACAATAATTTTAGGGCACGCACAAATACGTGTCCTCTATCCTTCAAATTTTGGAAGGCTGGCATAATTTTTAAGGACACACAAAAATGCGTATCGTAAATCATCGTGTGTCATTAAATGGTATTTTTCTTGTAGTGAGGGTCAACCAGCTAATGAAAGTCAACAAATGACATGGTTTATGACGTGAAATTAAATATCAGGAAAATGATTTGTAAGAGCAACGAAGTTTCGATACCGTTCAAAAAACCCCAATCATGTTTTGTCTGTTCAAAAAAATCCAACAAACTTAACCCTTTGTCAAAAAAAACTCAACGAATTTATGCTTTTGTTCAATTCTCATTAGAGGCAACCAAATTCATTAGGTATACAATTAGTTTGCAAATGACATGTCTTTATATTTAATGACATTGAATAAACAAATTAGAATTGTCCATTATATATCGATTTAGGGCTTGGAGAAAAGAAAAACGAACGGCACCCGTGATCTCTTGTAATGACTACTTCTTCTTCTTCATCTCAATCGTTGATGTCCAACTCAACATCTACAAAAGAAGATATTTGATGATGCAAACCCTTGTGGATGTGGACGCCCTTATCATATTTGGGCATCTATAACGGAGGATCATCCAGAGAAAAAGTTGAGGGCTTGTTCAGACAGATATATAAGTTTACTCGAAAACTTTATGATGTCCATCTTCTATCTTCTATATATCTGTTTGGCTCCTTAAAAAATAATAAGTTATTAACACAATCAACCAATATGGACCATTTTTTTAAATTAAAAAGGGAATATGATTTATTAAGGTAATTAACTTTTCGGTTTGTTCATATCTGGATAACTATCTTTTTTTTGTACACATCTAGGTAACGAAGTTGTTGGTGTTCACATATGACCATTATGACCTATTGTAGCAGGTTACATCCGGTCATAATGGTCATATGCGAACACTTTCAACAAGTTCGTTACCTAGATGTGTACAAAAAAATTTACCCAAATATGAACAAAACGAAAAGTAAGAATAAATTACACGAATGGTCCCTATGGTTTTTTGGGGAATTTGTACGTTTGATCTCTAACTTGTTTTTTTAATTCGGATGGTCCCTACTGTTTATTTTTGTTGTGTGCTTGGTCTCTATCTTACCTAAAAGGCTATTGTGCCCTTATTAATTTATTTTTTAAATAATTTTCTTATTTATGTATTTATTTTTTATATATTTTAAAAAAATTAATAAACCCCAAATATCTGTATCTCCTCACCCTGAACCTGAAACCACATTTGAGAAATTTAATCTGGGTCTCACCGGTCACCATCCCATCTCTCATCCTCCTTAACTTTTATTTCATTTCCATTTTTAGTGACATCGATGTCTTCATCATCCCTTCTTTTTTCGGTCTTTCAACTCCGACGAATCAACACCACAACCCACTGTCTCTTCATCTTTAATAAAATGACCGAAAAAAGAAGGCATTGTGAAGACGTCGATGTGACTAAAGATGGAAAGGAAATAGAAATTGAGGACGATGAGAGATGGGATGGTGACCGGTGAGACCCATATTAAATTTCTCAAACGTGGTTTTAGGTTTACGGTGAAACGATACAAATATGTGGGGTCTATTAGTTTTTTTAAATATATAAAAAAATAAATACATAAATAAGAAAATTAATTCAGAAAATAACTTAATAAGGGCACAATAGTCTTTTTAGGTAAGACATGAACAAGCGTGCAACAAAAATAAACAGTAAGGACCATCCGAGTTAAAAAAAAAGTTAGAGACCAAACATAAAAATTCCTCCAAACCACAGGGACCATTCGTGTAATTTATACATAATTTTCGTTATGTTCATATTTACGTGTTCATATATGACAATTATAACCGGATGTAACATGCTCCAGCAGGTCATAATAATCATATTATAATCGGATGTAATATGCTACAGCAGGTTATAATAATCATACATGAACACTTGCCACAAATTCGTAATCTAAAAAAGAAATAATAATAATAATTATCAAAACAGAAAATATAATTATTGAGGTTAACTCTTTTTACACAACAATCATACACTTACCAAAAGGCCACATAGTAGAGCCAATAAAAATTAGCCACGTATGATTTTTATTTTTATCCGGACTTTTAAAATAATCTCCTCCCAAAACTTGACGCACAAACCATTGTGCGTGAGAAGACCGAGGAAGAAGACTCTCGAATTGGGTAAAATCTTCAATGGCTTACGTCGAAAGAGGTGCGTCCGCTAATACATCAGTTTTCATAATTGCTTTATCAGATTATGTTTTTGTCTATCTATGAATATTTGATTTGGTGATCTTTGAATTTCTTGTTTTTTCGTGGCGGAAATCTTCCTCAATTGTTGATAATTTGTTTAAAATCAAATTTCCCCGATCTGGTATTATGAATAATTAGGCTGACTCGAAATTGGAAACAATTATTCTCTGATCCTAATTCTTCTTTATAAGGATTGGATTAATGCTCTTCTGGAGCATTTGATTTCGTAAATTGGTAAAGTACGAAGTTTCATCCTTTGTTAGGTCCTCTTTATCATATTCGTACCTAGGTTAAAATTACATAACGATCCTGAATTTTCTGAAAGGTCATTGGATTTGATAGTCTGATAGAAATCATAAAAGTTCGGAGAAATTAGGGTTTGTCAATAGTAAATTGTTTACTATTTGGGAAACGATGCTGATTAATTTCTCCCAAGTTCTCATTCAATTAAATTTGGATTATACCTGTCCATCGTCATTCGTGTTTATCCTAATTACAGCTGCTAGATCCATTGTACGAAATTTATCTCCTGTTTATTACATTTTCTAAATCAGTATGCCTGATTCACATTAGTTTATGTTTCAACATACAAGTACTATATACGGGTTGGATTTGAACTTATAGTTACTTTTTGTTTGATTCTTCAGGCGTAGTGAAATCCAATCGATCCTTATGGCGTCTGAGAACAATCACTGATTTCTTTTGGGCAATCATCAATTTCATTTCTGTTTTCTTTGCTACTATGTTTTCGGTAATCTTGATTCTTAAAATTCATCACCATATGAAATGCTAAATTGCTAATTAAACTTCTCCCTCGATATTCAAATGCATTTGTAATTGTAGATGGAGAAATCTGATGGGTATAAGAAACAATCCGGCGCCGGGAAGAAATGGGATGGTGGTGGCCCCGGTGGCGGCCCATACGGTGGTGGTGGTGGCCCACGTGGACTGGACAATGTTAGAGGCATAGACCACAGTATGTTATTTACTTTTTTTTTCAATTTTTTTTAGATGACATGATTTATTTATTAATTCTGACATTATTGATATTATCTTTCTCTTTGTAGACTCGCTTCCGGCCTGTGGGTCCTGCTGTGGTGGTTAACAGGTACAGATATAGATATAGATATTCTGATGACATAATCTTGCTCTTGGTATTGTCAAGTGAAAACAATAAAGTTCTGTAAGAAGTTTGTGTTTTGTGTTATTATGAAAAGTGTTTTGAAGGTTCGAAGAATATTATGTGATTACATTTTTATATATCCAAATGTGAAGTCATATGTTCCATTTTTTTCCTCCCTAATATTGATTATAGCAACCTATTTCCATTTTTTTCCAAATTGTTTTTCCAAAGAAATCTATCTACTTATGTTTGAATGCCCATTTGGAAGTGTTTAATGCCAAGGTATTTCAATCAAATGTTTGATTTTATGCCCTAATATAGATTATAGTTCACATTTACTATGTGTGCTTAAGTTTTTGTTAGATTTAAGTAAAAAACAAATTTTTCTCAGAATTATTCATCGGATTTTGGAGTTTTTGAAATTTCAGGTTTTTTTTTTTTGAACTCCGAAATTTTAGTTCGAAATCCAAAATGTTGGTCTAGAATTCCGAAGTTTCAGTGCTAAATATAATTTTTGGTCTGAAAAAGTGTTCTTTTTAGTACAGAATGTCCATTTCGGACTAAGTGATTATTTTTACTAAAAACAATTTTTTTTTGTTATTTTCTTCAAATACATATTAAATTGTGATTAGATTGCTTAATTTCCCTTTCTTATAATATAAATTAAAAATAAATAATAAAAGTTGAAGGGTAAAATTGTACTTTTATACTGAATATGTAATAACATGAAACTACAACAACCATCCATACAACTATTGGAAACCACCGGAACCATTCACATCAAAAATTAAAAATGCAACTTTTGATGAAGTATATGGATTGTTTATATAACTTTGTCTTTTTAAATTAAAGTGAGCTAAGTTATGATTTGTTAAGTTTTGTTCGACAAAATGGGCAGCCTGTTTAGATTTGATTAACAAACGAGTCGATCTTGAGTTTATTAGATTATACTCTCATATGAAAGCGGGATGAGCTTTAAGAGAAAAGAAAAGAAAAAAAAATTGTATATAACATTGTTGCATATCAAGGCATAAATAAGCATTTAACTCTAAGCCAACAAAATTTATACTTAAAAGTGACTTATGGTAAAGTCATACACGTCCACATCTTTAATGAGACTTAAATCCCAACCCGCATATTAATCGAAATACCAAGTATTGTTAAGCCAAGGCCATTTAAACCGCATGGACCACATATTCAATTATTACACACAAAATTTGGTCCACCAAAATCTAAAATATTTGAGTCACAATTATGATAATGATTGCATTTTTATTCATAAAAAATGTACGATCAAACTAATCATAGCTTTTAGATATATGATGTTTATTGAGTGGTCCATCCATGATCACACTCGTTACCCAAAAAAACATCCTTTCATCATCCATGAATATCGGTTTACGATTTGATTAAGAGATAATTATAAAATACCAATGTCATATCAATAGTACTACAATAGTATATAATAGTACACTCATGAGTCATGAGTCAAAGTGATGTTAAAGGACATATATAATCTTATAATAAGTTATAAAAATAAAAAAAGGTTGAATCATATTGGCTATCTTTTATAGCTTATAGAGTTCGAAGTATGCAGGAAATGGACTTAACAATATTTCATCACCAATCGTTATAACACTTTCTTATTAATAAACAATAAACACAATTACATCTTACAAACATAACAATCAAAACACATAATAACACAAACAAACTCCAATCATCTTTCAAACCTTATGAAGAATAACTTGAACACCTTTCTTCGGGGTAAGTATAAACACATCAGCTGGAAAATGAACATAATTACTCGAAAGACTCAACCTATAACGCTGCAAGATCATCGAAAGTGCAATCTTTGCTTCATTTGTAGTAAAATTTAAACCAACACAAGTTCTAGGCCCCATCCCAAAAGGCAAAAATGCTGCAACATTGTTCTTGGTAGCTTTCGCGACACCATTTACGAATCTGTCGGGTAAAAAACAATGAACATCTTTTCCCCATATTTCTTCATTGTGATGAAGTGCAAGAATTGAAACGAAAATATTTATTTTAGCAGGAAGAGTAAGGTTTCCTAGTTTGATCTCCCTCTCTACTTTTCTTGTCATTGTAATCACGGGAGGGTATAGCCTGAGTGACTCATTGATTACCATGTTCATCTGTATTTTCAAGAAACTTACAAATCAAAGTTTGAATAATTTTGATGCATATTGAGGGTCTATGAGAAGCATTTATACATAAATAAGAATGAAAAAAATGGAAGAAATAGACACAACTTGAAACATGCATAACTTTTGATCTGTCAGAAGTTTCGAGACCCATTTTATATAGACGGAAGCTCTCAATTAATTGGAGCTTCATGGCCAATTTCATTGTTTACACCTCCAATTATGGTCTTTTTACAGTATAAACTATTTTGTTTTAATTGTAAAATCATGTGATTTTCTTGTTTTCCAAATAACATGTTAATTTCATAAATAGTGTGTCGATTTTAAATTTTCAAAATTTGGCAATATTTATATTTAGTAAATTTAGCTCCGTTAAATGTAAACTTCTATAGATAGACCTTGAAATCAATAAGCAATTTCCTTTTACGAAATCTTGATCACTTTGTTGTATTTAATTTCGTTATGCATCAAATTTAGACAAAAATGAAACAATTTTCTTACAGTTTTAAGTCTTGCGATGCCATCTGAAGTTGGGGTTTCACGACCAAATAACTCAAGGACTTCTTCTCTTACACTTTCTTGCCATTCTTGATTGGTTGCTAAAAGGAAAATAGTCCACGAAAGCAAGTTTGTGGTTGTAAGATGTCCAGCACCATATATCGCTTTGATTTCATCAATCATTTGTTCTATTGTGATCTTCTTCTTTTCATTAAAATCATTAGCAATTTTCACAAGTTGTCCAAGATAATCACTTCCAAAATCATCAGCATCTTCATCTGCATCCGCCTTTCTTTTCTCTACAATGTTTAGAATCGATCTCTTTATCGCCTTTTCAAGTTTTTCCGCTTCAATTTCATCATTCGTCTTCATTATCCAACTAAAAAACCATATGCAAATCATTCCAAAACAATTAGCGACAGATTTAGCGATCCGTTGCTAAATTATGGACATTAGCAACAGATTAGTGACCGAATTTAGATACAATTTCCATACCTAATACCTGGAAAGCGTAATTTGTAGATGTTTCTAACAGTTATTTCTGTTAGTTTTGCAACCATCTCAAATATATGCTTCCCTTCAACATAACTACTACCAAAAGCTGTTCTAGATATCACTTCAGTTGTTACTAGCCCAAATTCTTTATGCACATCGATTTCTTTACCTTCATAGTCCTTCCACTTCTCTACCATTTCCCCAATGCTTCTATTCATCTCAGGAATCATATTCTGTGAAACATATCATATTCATCCTAAGATCACTACTAAAAAACCAAGCATTAGCAACAGACGAATCCGTCGCTAAAAATTAAGACTTTGAAAATTGATGATGATCACCTTCAAGCTCTCAGCATGGAAAGTATGGTTAGCAAGTTTTCGAACTTTTGCCCATTTTTCACCTTCGTTAGTTATAAGAGCTTCACCTAATAACTTCTTTGCATACCCTTCCATGTCCATTTTAGGGTAAGCTCCTTCTCGGTTGTTTAATATTTCCTTTATAAGCTCCGGTTCATTAACAAAAAGTTGTGCTTGCGAACCATGCCAATTTATAAAATTCATCCCTAGAAAGTACAAAAAAACGTATAATCGTGTATATAATTAACATTGTTTTATTTTTTATAGAAAATTTTACCATATGTTTTGATCCAGGAGTAGACGTGTGGCTGAATTCTTGGAAATATATCATGTGATGTATCCATGGATTGGCTCATGGATTGGTTTCTCATGGTTGTGATCACTTTGGTGTTTCCATGAGGAAATGTAAATGGAAGACCTTTGATTCCTTGTGATTTCATCATCTTTTGTATGGTAAGTGGAGTCCACCATGTGTTATTCAAATATGTAAAGAGAGATCGAAGGAGAAATAGACTTGATATGACGATTATGAGAGCCAGAACTAGAGCCATGGCTTTGAAGATTTAGCTGTTTTTTTGGGAAAAACATTTGGTGCATTATTTATAAGGGATTCTAGTGTTATGGAACAAGGACAAATTATGATCCATGGTGCATGACATCATCTGTTTTAACATATTCACGAACACTCTCTACATTGATTCGATTATTGCCCATATAAAAATTTGAAGCAAATTCAAATTCTTGTTATAATTCATTCCATAAACATGATCAAACACACATTATGTGTAACAAATTGGTAAGAAATTTGTTCCAAAACGGGTTTCACAAGGTTTGATTGATGAAGAGATGTGACTTTGGATGGATGAAGCAGCAAGATGACAATAGATTATAAGATTTCAATCATTTCTACAAAAACTATTACAAACTGCAACCAGGGTTTTGTTGATAAGCCTGGAATTTTAGGAACACACAACTTGACTAGAATCTAATGATCTTTTTGTTTAAATCATAAATTGAAACTATGAACACCAGATGAAAAAGGGAATCCATTATCCACCACAAACGCAGAATATGTAACTATACTGAATAAGAAAAATTATTAGGCTGGCCACGAAGGTCACGGAAGTAACCTCTAGGGTTAGCTTCAAAAGCAGCCCTTGGTAACATTAATGGAGATCTACCCGGTGCTATCATCATCATATATGCATCCGAATCTGATCTTCTTAAGCAGCACAAACACCGACCGAGTGAGCATAAGGCGTTGAAGCAGTGGATGAGAACGGCGGAGATGCACCAGAACAAGCAGTGGGAGACGCACAGGCACGTGATGAAGGCGGCGGCGGCTATGAGATAGGGTGCGGCGACGTCGAACCAGGGGCGAGGGGTGTCTGGTGGGAAATCCTTGTTGAATGCATCAATCAGATACTGGAAGAAGTTGTTGACGGCGGAGACGATTTGATTTAAGATATCGTCGACGGTGATAGTCAACTTCTCCGGCAAGTCGTCCATT